ATCATTGCGAAAAATATCTATCAAATCATCTTCCGACGAGGATAAGAATAAAAGATTTAGAGGTAGGTGTGGTGAGTTTGAGACCCACTTTGAATGCCTCTCTTCGAAAGTGTTCCTGTTTCGCTGTTTCTATCCGAATCCAGTGAGGAACGTCCGGTACGGCGAGGTCAATGAAGATTTTTGATGCCAATATTATATGCTCCAATACAACGACGATTAGTACCTAAACAGTCTGTGTTTCGTAAATAAACCTGCGCAATCTATTAAGTAAAACGAGCAGTTTGTACCAGCAACTTTGAGTGGAATGAAAATTTTGTCAAAAGTGTTTCTTTGTAAATGACTAGAAAAAAGACTGACCTGTCCACCCCAGCTTAGGTCTGGCCATATCCGTTGCACAAGCCCAGATTGTCCAATGAGAGCACAGTTTACCATAACGCCAACCATACCCAATAGCTGAAATGCAGATTAGAGGGATGAATTCAAGAAATTGCAAGCTATGATTCTTATGGACTTCTCACGAGTTGTGCAAAGCTCGATAGTGTGCATGAAACAAATTTGATATTAACTACATCTTTAATCGTGTTTTACAAAGATCGTTTCTAGCAGCTTTTCGTAGGTATAGAATAGTAAATTTCCAGCAAACTTATTAGTCGTAACTGACTTTTGTTATACTCCTGGAAGAATCCTCAAAATTTCTCAGGTTTCCCCCAATTTTCCTCACTCTGTTAAACAAATGGTTGTTTGTACCTTTTCGGTTTATACATTTGAAAGGTAAACTTCGAATTCTCTGAACTTTCCAATTTTTTGGATAATATTCTGCTTGCACTATTGAAGAACTTAAAACGAGCAGTTTTATTTCAATTGTGGTGTCCTCATGATTCCAAATTTGAAAAAAAAAGATTGAGATTTCAGCAGCTAAAAAAGTGGAGGCTGGTGTGCCGTTACAAGATTGCCTTCACATTTACTTAGTCATGAAAGGTAGAAATGACAACAAGTAGTGTTTGCGGCTCATACAAGACAATTATGATACATTTCAAAGCTATGATACATTTTAAAGCTAAAGTTTTTCAAGAGTAAACAAAAAGTTCGACAATTACTATCTAGTAATGTTTTATATGAAGTGAAGCAGTGGGAAGGAGTTTCAAAATTCAAAACAGCAATGTCACTGGGGCCCCTATCTGGGAGCCTACGTCAAATGGGAGATACGATATTTCTGACTAACCCCTTAAAAGCCCCAAAAGCCACAGTTAAAAATTAACACGTTTCGGACCGCGAATTCGCGCGCGGCAAAATGGCGTGCTGCACCATGTGAAGCAC